AACCTTTTGACGGGGCATTCAGAATAAACCGTTTGGTTTATATTTTACTTTAATTCTCAAATGAGATTGGTAGTTAGTCATCGCTAAATTAGCCGATGGCATGCAATCTATTTGGCATGTGAATCTTAAACGTGATGTATGACGAGATATTTCTTCCGTTAGCGTTTGTTCATTCATGTCAGTGGGATTGATGGGACAGATCAGGACTGTAACCTAAGCTAACGTAAACTAACGTAAACTTTTTGATTTACCTTCTTGGAAGCAATTGATAGTTGCTAATCGCTAAACTGTCATTCCATGACCACCACCTTATTTTGTTCCTCTTACTTTGTCCTAGAGTGTATTTTAAAGGGCATGAAGTGCCTCAGCTATTATAATGCGCACGTATCAGCCAAATTATTTGTCCCTAATTTTTCGCGTTTGTCATTTACAATTTTTGTGCCTTGGTAAATTACAAGAAAGAAATGAGTGTCGGTGTTTATAAAGAAAACGGTAGCCTGTGTAGCTGGCGGTCTTCTAGCGCGAACTTTAACAGAACTTATTACTTTCAAGATTGAGAATATATTTTTGACGCGATTTGTCGCAATCTTCCTGATACTGTGATATGAGCCTGGAATTGGAGTTCCTCTGTCAAAAGTAACTTCTTAAATTGTTCGAAGAACATGCACTTCTGACAGAATGCAAGGCAAGGCGACTTTCATGTTGGGCCGGTCGACGCTAAGGAGTGAGAAGTGCTACGTAATTGGGGTATTCACGTACATTTAATTCTCTGTGCTGCGTTTTCACGTAGGGGCCAAACTACCCCCCTAATGTTTCATGGAGGCTATATTTGCTTGGTTTATATATTTCTGAACCAAGTTTGGCAGATGACCTTTCTTTGCTCTCCAGTTTATTTTAATTTGGAAGTTGTGACAAAATGTCAGATTATGACGTCATAATTGATGACGTCACCGAAACGTGCTATAATTTTTTTTTAAATCGGATGTAAAGATTATGTCACTGGAAAGGCCTTGACTTGAGGAGTAAAATGCCGGAAACCGTTTTTTGCTAT